GTATTCCTAGTTCTTAAACGAGGAACAATGGACTGAGGCTCCTCAGGGGTTGTCAACATCATCACATGGCCATCAGGAAAGAATCTTATGTACCTATATAATAAAAAAAAAAAAAAAAGACCAAAACATACCCCATACACAAAGTATAAAACATGTCCTTATCTATCAGTACCTAGGCCTAGGCCTGCTCATATCTATGAAACCAACACTAAAATACCATGGGCTAAAGAACTGCTAAAACATTAAACAAATATGACTATCTGTTAAGTCCAGCAATAAAGAACCAAAGATACATATCTTCTTCAGGGGGAACTGCTGAGCTTTTAAATTTCAGTCACTGAATAAAGTTAAATATTGTTTTACTAAAGTTCTGTGCTTTTCCCAAAGCAACAATTTCAAACAAAGTAAGAGCCAATAACACACAGTAGTTAACATGTCTATTTTTTTCTAAATGATAGTAATATTTGGTGGGGAATAAAAGCACAAGCTATTTGAAAAGGCAAATAAGCATACCCAGCACAAAAGACAAGGAGAAATCTAAATGAAGCCAGAAGAAATTCTATAATTTATATTAGCCTATTGGTTTTTTGAGTGCAATTCCTATATTGTAGTACTAGATAAAAATGCTGAGGGCCATTTTGAAGGTCAATCAAAAGCAACAAAGAACAGATGTCCATATCACTAATACATGGAGAGAGAGAATTTTCCACTCACTCAGTGTACTACAGTTGTACCTGTAATATTCCACTTGGTGCCAGGCTCTATAGAAACCATCAAGAGACTGTTCTCCTTGACGAATATATGTGGTTTTACTGATATACACTCCTATGAAAATAATTTTTAAGTTATAATCATATTAAGACATTTCCATTATAATATTTACTGTGGTATCCTTTAAACACGCTTATAGTACTCATGTTCATCACAGAAAATTTAAACGATGTATTTATCAAAATCAGCATTATAGATCACTATTTCTGTTGAGTTCTACAGAATCCAACTTACCATCAAACCGGACACGAGGCCGTTCTAAAAACATCTCTCTCCAGGATGTGTAAGGAACAAGTTTAATACAGCTTCTGCCCCAAACTTTCAAGCAGGCCAGACGCCATATTTCAGGGTCTCTAGGGAATAAAAGCACACCATCAATAAAGACTAAGTCCTATAAACAGGAATAAATATTTTTGCTATCAGCCATCTTTTATTTAACAAGTATTTGTTGAGCATCTGGGAGGCACTGTTCTGAGGAGAAACTAATGGACAAGGAAAATGCCCTGCTCTTTTACTGTGCGAAAGCAAATTGAGAGAAAAGCCTCTGGTAGTATACTTAGTGCAAAAATCAACCAACCAAGAGTCAGCAGACAGAAACGATGGTGATGAGAAAATAGAGGAGGAGGGAAACCGGGAAATGCCTCTCTGGGAAGGTAATCACAGTGATGGGGATAAGTATCCCAAGCAGCAGCCAGAGCTAGAAGGAGCACACAGCTGTGGCAAAGTGGGCATTGTGCACAGGGAAATATACGATGAGGCTGTTGGGGCAGGTGAGGTGGCATCTTGTAGGCCGGAGTGGTTATTTACATAAGATGGATGCCACCAGAGGGTTCTGAGCATGATTTATGCTTCTATCGTAAAAGATCACTCTGGTCACCGGGCAAGATGGCTGAATAGGAACAGCTCTGGTACACAGCTCCCAGCGAAATCAACACAGAAGGGGCATGATTTCCACATTTCCAACTGAGGTACCTGGTTCATCTCATTGGGACTGGTTGGACAGTGGGTGCAGTCCAAGGAGGGTGAGCTGAAGCAGGGTGGGGCATCCCCTCATCCGGGAAGCACAAGTGTCCAAGGAACTCCCTCTCCTAGCCAAGGGAAGCCATTAGGGACTGTTTATTGCACTCCAGTCCACACACTGCTTTTCCCATGGTCTTCACAAGCCACAGACCAGGAGATTCCCTCCAGTACCTACACAACCACCAGGGCCCTAGGTTTCCAGCACAAAACTGGGCAACGGTTTGGGTAGAAACCAAATTAGTTGCAGCAGTTTCTTTTTTTTTTTCCCATATCCCAGTGGCACCTGGAACACCAGCAAGACAGAACTGTTCACTCCCCTGGAAAGGGGGCTGAAGCCAGGGAGCCAAGTGGTCTGGCTCAGTGGGTCCCACCTCCACAGAGACCAGAAAGCTAAAATCTACTGGCTTGAAATTCTTGCAGCCAGCACAGCAGTCTGAGCTCAACCAGAGTTGGTTGAGCTCAGTGGGGGGAGGGGCATCCACCATTGCTGAGGCTCAGTAGGTGCTTTCAACCCCACAGTGTAAGCAAAGCTGCCGGGGAACACCAAACTGGGCAGAGCCCAACACAGCTCAGCAGCCACAGGCACTGTCTCACGAGATGTCCTCGCTGGGATGAGCATCTCTGAAAAAAGGCAGCAGCCCATCAGCCTTCCTGGAACAGAATACCTAGGAAAAGGGGCGGTAATGGGTATAGCTTCAGCAGACCTAAACATCCCTGACTGGCAGTTCTGAAGACAGCAGCAGATTTCCCAACATTGTGTTCCAGCTCTGTTAAGGGACAGACTGCCTCACGTGGCTCCTTGACCCCCGTGTATCCTAACAAGGAGATACCTCCCAGTAGGGGTCAACAGACACCTCATACAGGAGAGCCCTGGCTGGCATCTGGTGAGTACCCCTCTGGGATGAAGGTACCAGAAGAAGGAACAGGCAGCAATCTTTGCTGTTCTGCAGTCTCCACTGGTGATTCCCAGGCAAGCAGGGTCTGGAGTGGACCTCCAGCAAACTTCAGCAGACCTGCAGCAGAGGGGTCTGACTATTAGAAGGAAAACTAACAAACAGAAAGAAATAGTTTTAACATCAACAAAAAGGATGTCCACTCAGAAACTCCATCCAAAGGTCACCAATGTCAAAGACCAAAGGAAGATAAATCCATGAAGATGAGGAAGAAACCAGCAAAAAAAAAAGCTGAAAACTCCAGAGATCACAGCTTCTGGCCAGCAAGGGAGCACAGCTGGATGGAGAATGAGTTTGATGAACTGATAGAAGCAGGCTTCAGAAGATGGATAATAACAAACTACTCCAAGCTAAAGGAGCATGTTCTAACTCAATACAAGGAAGCTAAGAACCTTGAAAAAAAGTTAGACGAAATGCTAACTAGAATAACCAGTTTAGAGAAGAACATAAACAACCTGATGGAGCTGAAAAACATAGCATGAGAACTTTGCAAAGCATACACAAGTTTCAATAGCTAAATCAATCAAGCAGAAGAAAGGATATCAGACACTGAAGATCAATTCAATGAAATAAGGCAAGAAGACAAGATTAGAGAAAAAAGTGAAAAGAAATGAGTATCTCCTCCAAGAAATATGAGATTACATGAAAAGACCAAATTTATGTTTGATCGGTGTACCTGAAAGTGATGGGGAGAATGAAACCAAGTTGGAAAACACTCTTCAGGATATTATCCAGGAGAGCTTCCCCAACATGGCAAGGCAGGCCAACATTCAAATTCAGGAAATACAGAGACCACCACAAGATAATCCTCAAGAAGAGCAACCCCAAGACACATAATTGTTAGATTCACCAGAGTTGAAAGGAAGGAAAAATTGCTAAGGGCAGCCAGAGAAAAAGGTTGGGTTACCTACAAAACAAAGCCTATCAGACTCACAGCAGATCTCTCGGCAGAAACCCTACAAGCCAGAAGACAGTGGGGGTCAATATTCAACATCCTTAAAGAAAATAATTTTCAACCCAGAATTTCACATCCAGCCAAACTAAGCTTTATAAGCAAAAGAGAGATAAAATCCTTTACGGGCAAGCAAATGCTGAGAGATTTTGCCACCATCAGGCCTGTCCTACAAGAGCTCCTGAAGGAAGCAATAAACATGGAAAGGAACAACCAGTACCAGCCACTGCAAAAACATACCAAATCTTAAAGACCAACGACGCTAGGAAGAAACTGCATCGACTAATGGGCAAAATAACCAGCTAGCATCATAATGTCAGGATCAAATTCACAGATAACAACCTTAAATGTAAATGGGCTAAATGCCCCAATTAAAAGACACAGACTGGCAAACTGCATACAGAATCAAGACCCATTGGTGTGCTGTATTCAGGAGACCCATCTCATGTGCAAAGACACATATAGGCTCAAAATAAAGGGATAGAGAAAGATTTACCAAG